CTACTACTACTTCTACTACTACTACTACTACTACTACTACTACTACTACTACTACTACTACTACTACTACTACTACTACTACTAAACTACTACTACTACTACTACTACTACTACTACTACTACTACTACTACTACTACTACTACTACTACTACTACTACTACTACTACTACTACTACCGCGGAGATGGGCTCAGGGGGGGGCATACTTCTTTGACCCATCGGCGGTGTGTTGCTGATCCCAGGTCGATGTCCTCTGAGCCCGTATCCCCTGCCGTTTCCCCTCACGAGGTGATTCGCGAAGAGGTGGGGGCAGGCCCAGCGTCCACGTCACGTGTGGACAGAATTCTGGACATCGGAGGTCTGGGCTCATGAGTCGCCACCCCGTCGGCCCACGCTGCGCGCCAGCTCCTGGTGTGCTGCTGCCTTTCTGAACGAGAGTTGCTGCGCACGCGGGTCTGCGCCTGTTGGGAGGCCGTGTGGAGGTTTTTCAACAGGTTACGCCTTCAGGGCCCCTCACGGGGCCCCGGGACCATCAAAAACTAACCCAGGACGAGAAGCCGTTCTCTGGGAAGGGGTCCATGCCTTTGCAGGGATCTGCCTTGTGAAAGGATCTCGACGTCAGAGTTCTGGGGTGGTCTTTCTCTCTCTCTCTCTCTCTATCTCTCTGCGCCTCTGGAACACTTCCCCTCGGTCCGCGCCAGCATGAGGTCTCTGGTCGAGATGCGCAGCGCGCCCGCAGTGCATGGAATCCACGTGTGTCCAAGCCGCCCGACGCAGTCACGCGCGGCGGCGGGAAGGGGGTGGAAGAGGGAGGAGAGGAGTGGACGGAGAAGGAGGGAGTAAGCAGGAGGATGAGGGGGCAGCGGGAGGAAGAGGAGGAGGAGGAGGAGGAGGAGGAGGAGGAGGAGTAGGAGGAGGAAGCAGAGGAGGAGTGGGAGGAGGAGGCAGGATGAGGAGAGGGAGTAGGAGAAGCAGTAGGGAGGGGGAGGAGGAGGGAGAGGAGAAGGAGGCCGAAGCGGAGGAGACGAGGAGAAGGAGGAAGGAGGAGAGGATGATGGGAGAGAGGGAAGGGGGGAAAAGGAGGAGGAGGAGAGGGAGCCGGGAGAGAGGGACAGAAAGAAGAGGAGGGGGAGGGGAGGCAAAGATGAAGGAGGAGGAGTCACGGCGAGGAGGAGGAGGTGGATGGATGGGAGCGATGGGGTAGCAGAGCGGCGCAGGCGCGGCCAGTCGTCGCCGCAGTGCGGCGGTGGGGGGAGCCGTGGACGCGCGCGTGCCGCTCGTTGGAAAAAGAAGCCCGGCGAGGCTCGCAGCCCTACGAACTTGTACCATCCTGGTCAGTCCGTCTCCTCCTTCCTCCTCCTTCGCCTCCTCCTCCTGCTCCTCCTCCCTCTTCCCCTCTCCTCTTCCCTCCCTCCCTCCTTCCTCCTCCTCCTCCCCTCCTCCTCCTCCTCCTCCCTCCTCCTCCTCCCTCCTCCCTCCTTCGCTCCTCCTCCTCCTCCTCCTCCTCCGCCCTCCTCCTCCTCCTCCTGTCCCTCCTCCTCCTCCTCCCTCCTCCCTCCTCCCTCCTCTTCCTCCTCCGCCTCCTCCTCCTTTCCGCTTCCTTCCCTCCTCCCTCCTCCCTCCTCCCTCCTCTTCTCCTCCTCCTCCTCCTCCTTCGCCCTACTCTCCTCCTCCTCCTCCTCCTCCTCCTCCTCCTCCTCATCATCATCATCATCATCATCATCATCATCATCATCACCACCGACGCCTTCCTCCCTCCCTCCCGCACACGTTTGCCCGCTCTGCCTCCTTCCTTTCGGCTGTGTGGAGACGGCGGGGAGACGTCTCCTGGCAACAGTTGCGAGGGGAGACAGCGGCGGGGACTGCTCAAGACATGCCGGGGGGGGGAGTGCGTCCTGACAGAGCTCAGTGTCACGTCGGCGGCCGTCAGGCCCACATGCTTGAGCCGCTCCAGGAGCACGTTCGAACACGCACCGCGTCTCGGCTTTCTCGCCGGCTTCTAGCGCACTGTGCGCCATGGCCCCCGACCTCGCTGCGCCGACGTGGACGTTCGCGCGCGCGGCAGGAGGAGGACCCACTCAGAAGACCAGTAGTTTGCTCAGCGACCTGGCGGGAGACGGGTCAGAGCATGTCAATACCGTGGCGAAGGTGCTCGTCGTGCTCACCAAGTTGTCGCTCACGAGTGCCGCCGAGATTCGCGGGGTCACTGGAATGTTGCTGACCCCCGTCCTTCTCTTCGCAGAGTCCCGTCGTCAAAATGATGCTGGCTCAGGACAAAGACTGCCACGAGGGCTCCAATGCCGCCAAGGACGATCCAGTGGCGCAGGCCGCGCTGGACCCTTCAATGATGCGCATATTTGCTGGGCTTCTTCGCGGCATGGGTCAGTACGAAGATATTGTAATGGCCTCCGGCCAGTACCGCCGATCCGGGGGGCTCCGGATTCGGTGATCTTCGCGGCTTTGTGGACTCCTCCCTCCTCGATTCTTCTGGTCCTCTTTCTTCTCCCTAGTTTCGTTGTCCTCTGCCTCCCGCTGACTCTTTTGCGTCGGGTGCTCGCTCCCCTCTCCGTCCTCGTTCGTCCTTGTTCCCGCTGGGGGGGTGCCTGGAGAGGTCCTGGGAAGAGTCCGGGGAGGGTTCCGAGGAGAGGGTCTTGGGGGCGGTAGCGGCTAGATCTGAGGGGGGTCCTTTGGACCCCCCGAAACATCTTGGGGATGGACCGCCCCCCCCTCCCCCCCTTTCCCAGACCCCCCGAAACATCTTGGGGATGCGCAAATCATTTTTTTAATATATATATATATATATATGTAAAAAAAAAAAAAAAAAAAAACGACAGATGGGGGACCGCCCCCCCCCTCCCCCCCTTCCGCGGCAGAGCCACCCCGGCGACCCCCCCCAAGAAGAGCTGAAGCTCTTGCTCAGGTTCAGAGCTGAAGCTCTTGCTGAGGCTCCTTGTAGCTCTCACGCTGGATCGGCGGACTTCACCCAGAGACGCCGAGATCTTCAGTGCGTATTTTTTGTGGCAGGGACATTCTCCAGAGCGACCAACCCCTGGGGACAGGCATTACATTGCAAGCGCAAGCCCACGGAGGAGAAGCAGGGCAAGGCAGAGGTTTCTTACAATGTCTTTAGCGATGCACACGGCAGGCCAGACATTCAGGGAATGGTGATTCGGGTGCTGGTGACCCACGGCATGGCGATCAAGTTCGACCCACGTCCTTTCGGACCGCCTGAGAGGGCGGCCGATGGAGCCCCTCGAGGCGTTCGCTGGAGAGTCTTCGGATAAGAGGGCCAGGGCCGAAACTGAGCGGAAAGCCAAGGCCAAGGCGACCGCATGATGGGCCCAATTCACAGTCAGAGAGTCCAGACTGCAAGCTTTAGTCAGAGGCTGCTAAAGCTTTCGTCGGGCGCGGGATGATCCCGCTGGGCGCTGCCCCGAAGCAGGCTCTGCCGCCTGCCACGCCTCACGTGCCAGTGCAGACGAGGGCGGGAACCCGACCCGGGCGCCAGCAGGGCGGAAGGGGGTCGTCGATGCAGTCGTATGATCCGCCGTCGCAGCCGCAAGTCGTTGGTTGTTCGGTCTTGAGCTCCTAGCCTGAGGCGTGCAGCTGCGAGGGCCTGCCCCCGGTGTCGTCCGCGAGCGGGGGGGCCACAGGTCGCCGGAGCCGTGTTCCTGCCTGCGCGGCAGGACCGCGAAGTGCCCTTTGTGGGGCCTCAGGGCGTCGGCAAGCTTTATTTGTTACAACGTGGCAAGACCAGGGGTAGTCCAGGCAGGCTATTCGCGAGGGGGCAAGTTGGATCGAATGCCCACAGAGTTCGATTCGATTCGATCCCCTTTCTCCCACTCACCCTTCTGCCCCCCCTGCCTCCCTCACCCCCTCTCCCACCGCCCCCGCTTTGAAATGTCAAGGGGCCGTCAGGGGGAGGAAGCGGGAGGAGGAGGAGGAGGAGGAGGAGGAGGAGATGAAGGAGGACCATGGGGTGCACCAGGTGTAGGACGAGGAGACCCCCCTCCCCTTCCTCCTCCCCCCCCCATTCCCCCTCGCCCCCCCCCCTCTCCACCCCCAGCCTCCCCAGCCTACCCTCTCCCCCCTCCCTCCTCCTTTCTGGCTCCCTTGCCGAGGCCCGCCGGGGGTGCCCGCGGCCGCGGCGGAGAGGGAGCTGGGGAGCCCCGCCGCCGCTGTTGCGGGATTGTCAAAGAGCTGCCCGCGCGCGCGGGGGGGGCGTCGCTGTTCCAGGGGGGCGCGGGCGCGGGTGGGTGTGGCGGGGGAGCCTTGGCCGTCGCTTCTCGCGGGCAGGAGGGCGGAGGAGGGAGAGGAGGAGAAGGGGGAGGGGGAGATGTGAGCAAGTTGTTGTTGGTGGTGGAGTTGGTGGTGTTTTTGGTGTTGTTGGTGGTGTTGGTGTTGGTGTTGGTGTTGGTGTTGGTGTTGTTGTTGCTGCTGCTGCTGCTGTTGTTATTGCTGCTGCCTTTGTTGTTGTTGTCGTTGGTGTTGTTGTTGTCGTCGTCGTTGTTGTTGTTGTTGGTGGTGGTGGTGGTGTTGAATTTTCATTTCTGAAGACTAATTATTGTTGATCCCCCCTCGCTGGTGCATGCTGTTTTTCTCAATCAAAGTGTGCCCCTCGACGCTCGCACCCTATGCTTTGACAGAGAACGTCTTGGTGCTCAAACTGTGCCCCTGGCCCCCCGGATTAAACCAACAACGGCTCCCGCCTGAGATTTCCTCCAAATTTACTCAGGACCCCCGCTTCTGAGACGCCCTCACAATTTACTCAGGATCGGTTCTCCCGCCTGTGACTTCCTGGCAATTTAGTCAAGACCCCCGCTTCCATCTGAGACTTCCTCACAACTTACTCAGGAACGGCGCTCCCGCTCGAGACTTCATCGCAATTGAATCAAGACTTCCTCGCAATTTAATCCAGACCCCCGCTCCCGCCAGAGAACCCTTCACATGTTATTGAGGAATTGTGCTCTCGCCTGTGACTTCCATGCAATTTATTCAGAAGTCGCGCTGTCGACGCTCAGGAAACACGCTGCGCCAAGGACGCCGTTACAATTTACCTAATGATCGCGCTCTCGCCATACTCAGGCATCCCGCTTGAATGTCCCACCCGCCCGACCCGCCCGTCAGGGGATCGCCCGCCCGTCATGGGCTCCCGCCCGAGACTTACTTCTTCAGGAACGGCGCTTTCACCTAGGACTTCCTCGAACGTTCACGCTCTTACCTTCCTGCTTTTCCTCCCTCTCCCTCCTCCTTCCTCCCTCCTCTCCTCCCTTCTTTCTCCCTCCTCTCTTCCCTCATCCTTATGCCTCTCTGCCCTATCCCCTCTCCCTCCTCTCCCTCCTCCCTTCTCCCTCCCCTCTCCTGCCTCCTCCCTCCCTCTTTCTCTCTCCCCCCTCTCTTTCTCTCTTGCTCTACCTCTCTTATATGTTTTTTTGTTGTTCTCTCTCTCTCTCTCTCTCTGCCTCTATTCAACCGCTCCCTTCTTTGCTCCTTCTCTCCTGGCGTTTTCCCTCTTCCTTCGTCCCTCCCCCTCCCTTCCTCCCACTCTCCCTCGTTCTCCCCCTCCTCTTTTGGCAGGGCCTACACCAATTCCAGTGGCGGGCAGATGTACGCCCACGAAGGATTGTCCGCCCGTTCAGGTCTGCCCGCCTGTCTAAGTCCGCCGCCCCCCCCGCAAATATAAATGATCCCCCCACAGGGGGTGTGATCGAAGACAAAAAGGGCGGATATCGAGGGTGTGGGAAACTCGTTTTGGATGACACGCGGGCAAGTAAGAGCGAACAGTCTTATAATGATTGTTAGTGTTGTTGATGGTGTTTGTGGTGGTGTTGTTGTTGCTGTTGATGGTCTCCCGCCCGGGCGTTGCCTTGAGCCTAGATGTGGGCCTTTGGAGGCCCAGCTATGTACGGCAACAACGGCTCCCGCTCGATACTTCCTCACAGTTTACCCTGAGACACCCTGGCCAGAGATGCCCCCGAACTCAGGAACGGCGCTATCGTTCGAGACTCCCTCGCAATTTAATCAAGTTGACGGTGGCCCAGCCACGACGACAAGGGCTCCTGCTCGATACTTCCTCGCGATTTACCGCGAGACACCCTGGCCAAAGAGGCCCCCGAACTCAGGAACGGCGCTCTCGCTCGAGACTTCCTCGTATTTGAATCAAGTTGGCGGAGGCCCAGCCCAGCTCCTCCTCCTTCTCCTCCTCCTCCTCCTCCTCCTCCTCCTCTTCCTCCTCCTCTTCTGAGCTTGGCCCTCCCTCCTCCCCCCTCACCCCTGGGCCTGGGCGGGCAGCGGGGATGGGGCGGGGACCGGGAGGCCGAGGCGTCGATCTGCGCTCAAGACAGCGCCGCGGGCAGCATGGAGGGCCCGGCGCCCCTCTCGGGCCGGACGAAAGGGGGGGATTGGGAAAGGGGGGGTTACGAAATTTGCTGCGTGCAATGCAGCTGGTTTCGGCCCCACCGAGGGGCCCATTCCTCGATACACAGACGCCTCCGGCGCCGGGAGGCGCCGGGAAAATCAGCTACGTGCCCAGACCCCCGACGTCATGAATTTTTTCATGACGCGACCCCCAGATGTCCAGACCCATGCCCCGGGACCGGTTTTTCATCCCGAGTCGTTTTTTGACGCTCCCGAGGCCCAGCGAGGGCCCTCAGAGGCCGAAAACTGCGAAAAAACTCCTGTCGTGATTTTTTCATGACTCGAGGAGGTCTGGGATTCTCAAACCCCCCCTTTGCTAATTATCCCCCCCTTTCGCCCGACCCGGCCCTCTGCCCCCTGCGCCTCCGCTGCGAGCCGCCCGGCTCTGCCGCCCCTGTGCCCTGCCGGCCGCTGTCGCCGCACAATCCTGGAGGGTTCCAAAAGGTTCCAAAAGGGGGGTTTTGGGGGGAGGGGGTTTCCCAGGAGGGCCTCCCCTCCCTGACTCCAGATCCGCCCTACTTTTTTTTTTTTGTTCAACTTAAGATTGCGTCGGAAATCCACCTAGAAGAAGCCGAAAAAGTGGGGCGGAAATTCTGCACCCAACACAAAAAAGGGCGGACGTCCACAGAAGCAGGGCGGAAACAGCAGCAGAAAAGTAGGGCGGAAACTGGCATCAGCGGGGCTTAGAAAGTAAGGCGGAAATTCCAAGCCCTACTTGCGAATTTCCCCAAAGTAGGGCGGATCTGGAGTCAGGGCCCCCCTCCCAGAGATCCAACGCATTGAAAAGATCAAGACGGAGGTTTTCCTAAATGTTCGGCCTCTGGCGGCCTTCGCCGGGCCCTGGGACTGTCAAAAAACAACTCAGGATGAAAAGCCGGTCCTGCGGAATGGGTCGAGACTTTGGGGACCCCGTCCTGAAAATATCACGGCATCGGATCTCTGGGCAGGGGCTTCGCACCCCCTGCTTTGACGAGGTTCCGAGGCCCCTGGGGGGGCTCCCTGGAAAACCCCCTCCCCCCCAAAAACCCTTCCCAGACATGCGACGCCCTGCTTTGTTCAGGACGGCGTCCCCGCAAGTCCCGGCCCTTTCCCCGGGACGTTTTTTTTTTTCGTCCTGCATCGTTTTTGGACGGTCCCGAGGCCCGGCGCGGGCCCCCCGGGGCTGAACATAGCCCAATTAACTAACCTCCCGTCCTGATGTTTTGGGGACGCGATCCTGGCTGGGTGTGGAGCCCTCCGGCAATCGGCGCGCCGTGGCCGAGCTGCTGGGCCGCGACGGCGGCCGGCTGGCGCGGGAGCTGCTGGCCGCCTCCCCGGCCCTCGGCGGCGCGGTGCTCGCCGCCGCCGAGGCGCCGCCGGAGGGGGCCCCGGGCTGCGAGGCAGAGGAGCCGAGCAGCGGCGAAGCGTCCCGACTTGCTTGAAGGGTCCCTCGAGGATAAGGAGTGCTCCGCAGGCATGCCCGCGTCGTTAAAAAATCGGGACGGAGGTGTTTCGTCGTTTTCAGCCTCTGGGGGCCCTCGCCGGGCCTCGGGACCGTCAAAAAACGACCCAGGACGAAAAACCGGTCCCGGGGAAGCGGTCGGGACTTCCACGGACGCCGTCCCGAAAAAATCAGGACGTCGCATGTCTGGGTCCAAAGCGCTGTTGTGGTCTGCACGGCATGTTCTCAGAACGTGTCTGGCCGAGGCACTCCGGTTTGAAGTCGGGCCTGGCCCTCTACAGGAGGAATCTCCAAAAATAGTCAAAACATAGTCTGGGAACGATGTTTGGAGTCTTTTGGGGCATTTGGGGGCATTTTTTTACTATGTTTCATTTTTCCGTTCAAAATCACCATGTAGGAGGACAGGCCCGACTTAACTCTTGTATCCATCACTCCGTCGTTGCACTGCGTGATCTAAGGGCACTGCGCCTGTCTTTAGCAGAAGCTGCGTCCTAGAGACCCGATGTCGTGATTTTTTCAATGCGAGACCCAGGGAGTCTCGACCCATTCCCCAGGACCTGATTTTCATCCTGCGTCGTATTTTGACTGTCCAGGGGCCCGGCGAGGGCCTCTAGAGGCCGAAAATTCAAAAGAACCTCTGCCTTGATTGTTTCAATGCGTTGGATCTCTGGGGTTCCCGCTCTACGAAATCTTCGACGGGAGGCCTGCAGGCATGCCGGGGCGGCCGCCCCCCTGCCCTCCAAGAAGGAGGCGGCCTGGCTGCGGCGGTCCCTGGCGGCCCTGGCGGCCCTGCCGCGCCCCGCGGCGCCCGGGCCGCCGCCCGCTCGCCGCGGCCTGCGCCCGCCCCCGCTGGGGGCGGTGCGGCCCCGGGGGTGGCTGCGGCGGACGCTGGAGCTCAGCGCGGCGGGGCTGGCGGGGCGCCTCTTCGAGTTCTACCCGCCGGTGCGGGACTCGGGCTTCCTCGCGGGGGCGGCGAGGGGGGGGGCGGCCCGCCCAGGGAGGGGGGAGCACAGTGTGCACGTGTCTCCAGAGGGGCGCCGAGGGCCCACGCCTTCGGCGAGGGTCCCGGGCGAAGTCGCCCTGGACTATTCGCCCTCCTGGGCTACTATTTGCCCTGGGCTATACGCCGGGCCCTGGGCTGTTCGCCCCCATCGCCGCCGCCGATCCTCGGCGGGGGCGGCTCCTACTCCAGCCTGCTCGAGGACCTCCCCTACGCGCTCAACGGGCTCGTGCCCCTCGCCGCCGCCACCGGGGAGGCCCGCCTCACCGCCCTCTGCGTCGAGGCGGTGGCGCGCGTGCTCTCCACCCGGGGCGCGGACGGGTGGCTGGGCCCGGACGAGGAGCTTTTTTTTGTGTAAAAATTGCCCCAGTGCGACCCTACCTAGAAGTTGGAGCCCGTAGGAAAGCAGCATTAGTTGCTATGCCATGCTATGCTCTGCTATGCAACGCTATGCTATGCTATGCTGTGCTGTGCTATGTTGTGTTGTGCTGTGCTGCGCTATGCTATGCTATGCGCTGGGCTATGCTATGCTATGCTGCGCTGCGCTATGCTATGCTACGCTATGCTATGCTGTGTTATGCTATGATACGCTAAAGCTCAGCGAAGCCACGATGATGGTAAGCTTAGCTAAGATAAACTGAGGTAATATGAAGCTAAGCTAAGATGAGATAAGCTAAGCTAAGATGAGATAAGCAACGCGAAGCTAAGGGAACGTCGCTGGGAGAACCGCGGGGCGGATGCCGGGGGAACCGCCCGGGGCGTGCCCCACTGCCCGGCCCTTTAAGCCTCAGAGTAAGAACCGAGCCTAGGTAGGGAAAAATCCCTTTGGGCCACGGCGCGCCTCATGCGCCCCCCCCCCCTCCCTTCCCCCCCCCTTCACCCCTCACATCGTAGCGCTCGAGCCCTTCGCCCCCCCCTCCCCCCCCCTGAGATCCGACGCTCCAAGACAAAATTGGAGCGGCGGGATTTGGTCAGTTTTCGGCCTCCGGGGGCCCTCGCCGGGCCTCGGCAGCGTCAAAAAACGACTCGGGACGGAAAACCGGCCCCGGGGAAGTGGTCGGGACTTCTGGGTCCACGCACCAAAAATTGGAGCAGCCGGATGTCTGGGCCCTCAGTGCGTCCCCAGCGCTGCCGCAGTGCGTCCGGCACCGCAGTCTGCGGTGCGGGGCCCACACAGCGGGGGGGGGGGAGGCGTTAAGTCATGCCCCCCCCCCACCCCCCCTCCCAGACCCCCGACGTAATGAATTTTTCATTACGTCGACCCCCAGAGGTCTGGACCCTTTCCCCATGACCGGCTTTGCATCCTGAGTCGTTTTTTGACGCTCCCGAGGCCCGGTGAGGGCCCCCGGAGGCCGAAAATTAGGAAAAACATCCCGTCATGATTTTTTCATTACTCCAGGGGGTCTGGGCTCCCTGCCCCCTGCTAATAACGCCTGTTATCGCCGCGAGTGCGCAAATCTCTCGAGTGGCCCGGCGCCGACGCGGACGGTGGGCCGGAGCGCTTCGTGGCGCTCAGCGCTTCGATCTGGGCGCGCGTGCCGCTGCTGCAGGGCCTGGCGCAGTTCGCGGAGGCGGCTGCGGAGTTCGGGGCGGAGGGAGCCTTTCCTTCTCCTCCTCCTCCTCCTCCTCCTCCTCCTCCTCCTCCTCCTCCTCCTCCTCCTCCTCCTCCTCCTCCTCACTCCTCCTCCTCCTCCTATGCAGAGGCATAATTACCGATACAGCCTTTCCTTCCCCTGGGATCTGGGCTTTGCATTTTTCGCAGCTGGCGGGCGCGTTCGCCCTGTCTCCGGCACGGAGACGACCTCACAGATCGATCCAGCCCAAGCAGCGGCGCAGAAAGATGGGGTCTATAGGGCTCTGGTCGTGGTTTCCTACGATGTCGCACTCTTTGCGCATCGTCGGATCTTAGGGCCCCTCGTGTTCCCCTTTTTGGGCCTCCTGCCCAGACCCCCGACGTCATGATGTTTTCATGACGCCATGATTTTTTAGGACGCGACCCCCAGAGGTCCAGACCCATTCCCCGGGACCGGTTTTTCATCCCGAGCCGTTTTTTGACGGTCCCGAGGCCCAGTGAGGGCCCTCAGAGGCCCAAAAATAGCGAAAAACCTCCCGTCGTGATTTTTTCACGACTCGAGGAGGCCTGGGTGGGAGGCCCTCGTCGCCACGGTCAGCTTCGCCCCAGAGCGTCTGTGAACCCCCTGGGGTGGGGCGCCGGCGCCGACCCTGGCCATGGCCCGTGCGGGCCTGCGCCGACGGACGCCGACCAGGATGGACGGTGACCAGGGCCGGCACCGGCGCTTCCGCGCTCAGTCACGACCACCGCTCCCAGACCTCCTCGAGTCATGAAAAAATCACGACGGGAGGTTTTTCACAATTTTCGGCCTCTGAGGGCCCTTACCGGGCCTCGGGACCGTCAAAAAACGACTCGGGATGAAAAACTGGTCCCGGGGAATGGGTCTGGACCTCTGGGGGTCGCGTCATGAAAAAATCATGACGTCGGGGGTCTGGGTTTAACCGACCCTGAGATCCGACGTTGCCAAAGATTGCAACATCGCAGAAGTCACGCCCGGAGACCCGGACCTCATGATCTCTCCGCGCCATGTTTCGAGCCCGCTCGATCTGTGAGGGTCCCGGGGCCCGAAATCGAGCGAAAGCGCCCGTTGCCAAAAAAATGCCACGCCAGGACCTCCGGGGATCCCCATCCCCATCCCCATCCCCATCCCGACCCCCACCACCCCAGGGAACAGCCTCTGTCCCCCATCTGGGGGGATACAACTCGGCCCGTGCGGCCCAGGCGCCACGCGCGTGGGGATAGGGATCTGTTATAAACGATGCTCAGACTCTCCACCGCCCACGCCTTCCGACCAGCGCCAGCAGCTGCAGAAGCAGGAGCTCTGAGAGCTCCGCGCGGATTTCTCAGATCGGCGCGGGCCCCCCGGGAGGAGGAGGGAGGAGGAAAAGGAGGATGATGATTCCCCAATCAGAGCTTGCTGCCGTAGGGGTCCTAGCGGATTCATATGGTTAGGTTAGGTTTGTCGCCGATTTTCGCTGCACGCCGGGGTGCCCGGGGGTGCCCGGGGGGTGCCCGGGCGTGCCCAGGGGTGCCGGGGGGTGCCCTATAGCCCTATAGCCCTATAACCCAATAGCCCTATAGCCCTACAACTCTATAGCTCTATAGCCCCATAGCTCAATAGCCCTATAGCCCCCTAACCCTATAGCCCTGATTGGGTTTTTCTCCGGTATCATGATGATGATGATGATGATGATGATGATGATGATGATGATGATGATGATGATGATGATGCTGTTGATGATGATGATGATTATGATGATGATGATGATATGATGAGGGAGGAGGAGGAGGAGGAGGAGAGAGGAGGATGAGGAAGGAGGAGGAGGAGGAGGAGGAGGAGGAGGAGGAGGAGGAGGAGGAGGAGGAGAGGAGGACCTGGCCCTCCACGAGGCGGCCGCGGAGTGGGGCGGAGGCGCCGCAGCGCTGCAGTGCCAGGCCTTCGCGGCCGTGGAGGGCTTCGTGCTCGCGCTGGCGCGGCGGCTCGACGCGGGCCGCTGCTCGCTGGTGGCGTGGAGCGCCGCGCGCTGGCCGGACCGCCGGGGCTCCGAGCCCCTTCCCTTCCCCTCCTCCTCCTCCTCCTCTCCTCCTCCCTCCTCCTCCTCCTCTCCTCCTCGCTCCTCCTCCATTCCCTCGCCCTCCTCCTCCTCCCCTCCTCCTCCTCCTCCCTCCTCCTCCTCCTCCTCCTCCTCCTCCTCCTCCTCCTCCATTCCCTCGCCCTCCTCCTCCTCCTCGCCCTCCTCCCCCTCGGCTTCGGCCCCCGAACCTCCGCCGCGGGCCGCGCGCGGAGAGGAGCCCCCCGATCCCGGGAGGCCCTCCCGGACGGGGTCCCGAGCGGAAGGGGGGCGTCGGATCGCGCCGCATCGCCGCTGCATCCCCAGACACGATCGCGTCGCAAAAAAAACAGCCCTGACTCCAGATCCGCCCTACTTTCTGGCTTTGTTCAACTTAAAATTGCGTCGGAAATCCACCTACAAGAAGCCGAGCAAGTAGGGCGGAAATTTCTGCACCCAACACAAAATAGTGCGGAAATTCAAAGAAGTAGGGCGGAAACAGCAACAGAGAAAAAGGGCGGAAATTGGCATCAGCGGGGCTTGAAAAGCAAGGCGGAAATTCCAAGCCCTACTTACGAATTTCCCTAAAGTAGGGCGGATCCCGAGTCAGGGAGGACGGGAGGTTTTTGGCGATTTCTGGCCTCAGGGGGCCCTCGCCGGGCCTCGCGGGAGACCGTCCAAAACGACTCGGGACGAAAAACCGGTCCTGGGGAAAGGACGTCGGGACTTGCGGGGACACCGCCGTCCTGAAAAAATCAGGGCGTCCCCAGACATTCGATCGCGTCGCAACAAAAAAAAATATCTGGACGGGAGGTGTTGGGCGATTTCCGGCCCCAGGGGGGCCCTCGCCGGGCCTCGGGAGGACGCGTCCAAAACGACTCGGGGACGGAAAACCGGTCCTGGGGAAAGGACGTCAGGACTTGCGGGGACGCCGCCGTCCTGAAAAAATCCGGGCGTCGCAGATGTCTGAGTCGCCCCCCCCGGGCCTGCGACGATCCGACCTGTTCCGTCCTGGCGTTGTGCCTTCGGCTTTTCGGCCTCGGGGGCCCGTCGTCGGGGCCGGGAGCCCCCGGGAGCGGACCCCGCTGGGCGCTCGAGCCGGCCCCGGGGGCGAAGGCTCGGGACCTCCCATGGGGGGGGACCGTGTCGGCGCACGCCTGGGCCCCAATTGGCCAGGCCCATCCTCCCAGACCCCCTCGCGCTGTGAAAAAACCCAGCGGGAGGTGTTTCGCTATTTTCGGCCTCTGGGAGCCCTCACCGGACCTCGGGGCCGTCAAAAAACGGCTCAGGATGAAAAGCCGGTCCCAGGGAATGGGTCGAGACCTCTGGGGGTCGACGTCATGAAAAAATCATGACGTCGGGGGTCTGAGCTGCGAGGAGCGGTGCGTGGTTTGCGGTGCGCGCGGCAGCGGGGAGGCAAGGAGCGCTGGGAGGTCGAGGCGCGCAGGAAGGGCGGCCCCGAGGGACCCCGTGGCTGCCCCTGCTGCGCGGCCACAGGCGCGCCCCGTAAAAGGTTGCTGGAGAGGCGCGCGTCGCTGCAGAGGGCCAGAGAGGCCCCCGAGAAGCCCCCCAGAGGCCCCCTGCAGGAGGCCCCGGGAGGCCCCCCAGATGCCTCCAGAGAGGCTCCCAGGAGACTCCCAGGAGCCCCCAGAGGCCCCCAGGAGGCCCGGGGAGGCCCCCACCAAGATGCCTCCATGCAGAGGCTCCCAGGAGACGCCCGGGAGGCCCCAGGAGTGCACCCAGAGGCTCCCGAGGTGCGCGCGCCGCTCCCGGGCCCGGGGCGGGCCCGCGGGGACCCTGGAAGACACAAATCTAAAAATCTGTGTTGGTTGCTCATTTCCCCAGCGGCGGCGGCATTCGGAAGGACCGCATGGTATCTAAAATTCCTCCCTGCATCATCTGTGTTTTACGTCCGCCCCCCGCAGGACCTGGTGGCCACGCTCGGCTGGCTGCTGTCCAACCCCTCGGGGCCCGGGGGCAGGCCCGGCGGGCCGAGGGCGCTGCCGACGCTGCCGAGTGCTGCCGCTCTTCGGGGGGGCGTCTCCTCCTCCTCCTCCTCCTCCTCCTCCCTCATCCTCCTCTCCTCCTCCTCCTCCTCCTCCTCCTCCTCCTCCTCTCCTCCTCCTCCTCCTCCTCCTAGTCCTCCTCGTCCTCCTCGTCCTCCCTCCTCCTCCTCCTCCTCCTCCTCCTCCTCCTCCTCCTCCTCCTCCTCCCTCCTCCTCCTCCTCCTCCCCTCCTCCTCCTCTCTCCTCCTCCTCCTTCTCCTCTCTCCTCCTCGCTCCTGCCTCCTCCTCCTCCATCCTCCTCCTCCTCCTCCTCCTCCTCCCCTCCTCCTCCTCCTCCTCCTCCTCCTCATCCTCCTCCTCCTCCTCCTCCTCCTCCTCCCTCCTTCCTCCTCCTCCTCCTCCTCCTCCTCCTCCTCCTCCCAAGCGGGGTGGTGACCGCGCCGTGTGGTGAGTCGGTGGGGGCTTCGGGGTCACCGCACGGCTTCGGAAGTCGGGTCCCTCTCCGAGAGCGCCTCGGACGACTGGGGGCCTCCAGGGCCCCAAGGCCGCGCGGTGGGGCTCCGAGGCCACCGCGCGGTCTGTCACAACACGGCTTTGGGATCCCCGACCCTGTGCCTCCCTCGGCGGCGGCACGCTCGTGGCCACGGCAGGGCGCGCGGGGAGGTGGCCAGGATGGGCCGCCGGGGCCGCATAGGATGCACCAGTACAGTGGGACCCTCGACTCCGCCCCCCCCTCCCCCCTCTCCAGGCATTCGGCAGCACGGGCGCGGAAGGACAGAGAAGTGGTGACATTCCCAGGGCCGCCGCGAGGCCCGACCCAGCTTTGGAGCTGGTGGGGGGAGAGAGGGGGGGGGGGGGGGACAAACCCGGGTCGAGCACGAAGGGGTTCTACCTGTTCGTCCCCTTGCCAGAGGCGTCATGGGGGGGGGAGGAGGGAGGGCGTGCTCTGGTCGGGGGCTGGTCAGGGGGGGGCTGCCCGCTTCGGGCACGCCGCTTTCGGGGGGCCGACGCCCCCCCCGAGGATATGTTTAAGTCGGGCCTGTCCCCCTACAGGGGTGTGTTCGAAGATTTTTTCAATACAAGCCCAAACATAATTAAAACAATAGTGCACAAGTAGTCCGGGTACGATTTTTTTAGTATTTTTGTTTACCTTCTTGGAGCATTTCTGGTGTATTTTCAATTTTTCGTCGACGATCCCCCTGTAGGGGGACACGCCCGACATAAGGATATGTCTCGATAGTAGCAATTTGGCTCAGACCATCCAGCTGGCACATGTGATACTACATGCTCTAAGTTTTCGGCGGCGAGCGAGGGGGGGGGAAGTGAGAAGGAGGAGGCCTTCTCGGAAGGCTCGGAAGGCCTCAAGCCTTCTGAGCAGTGTACCTCTCAGAAGGCCGGAGGGCTTCTGACAAGCCCCGCCGCCTTCTGCGAAAGCCTTCTCGCTCTCTCTTTCCCCCCTTCGCTCGCCGCCGGAAGTGCACCAGCGGACAAGGCTCCGGCAACACTCGTCTGCACTCACGAGCGGCAGCTGAGCAATCCGGCAGGACAATCGGGTGAAGATCTCGAGGAGGATGCCTCGAAGACTCCTTGCCTCGGCTCAGCGTCTGGCGCCTCTCGCGAGGGTCTTCAGGGCGGCCCCCGGGTGAGGCGAGGGGCCCGTTGCAGAGGCCGCCTGCCTATTCCGGGAAGGCCGCCCCGCCCTCGCCTCCCCTCTTTTCCCCTAGTGGGTAGTCGGGCGTGTCCTCCTACAGGGGGATTTTCGACGAAAAGTAAAATACCCAAAGAAAACTCCCCAATGGTCAAAAAATACTAAAAAAAAATAGTCGCCAGACTATTTTTTGACAATTTCTGCATGACTATTTTGGGATATTTCCCCTGTAGATCGAGGGACAGGCCCGACTTAACCCTAGTGGGTGCAGCAAACAAGAGACCAGCTTGCCAGCAGGCGCCCACGGAAACTTCTGATCCAGTGGTGGCCCCAAGAAACTCTGGGACACCTTCGAGGAGCGTGTCTCCCAGTCTTTCCCGGTTGCCCAACTTCTTGTCGTGTGTGCCTACTGCCCTGCGCGCCGCCAGCAGGTGCGAGCCCCTCTCCGACCGCACCCCCTCCACGGTGCACGCGCTGGCGTGGCTGGCGCGGGTGCAGGGTTACGACTGGGAGGGGTGGTTCGCAGATGGCACCCCGAAGAAACACAACACCTTGCACGAGCATGAACTTTCGGAAGGTCCGCGCAGGTTTCTTGGATCGGCGCTGGTCCCGCCCACCCCTCCCAGATCTCCGCCGACACGGTTTTTGTCAGCCTTGGCGTTTTTCTCCTAGACCTCGGCCTCTGGGGCAGGTGCTCGGGCCCCGGGACCATGACACATCCCGGGACCATCACAAACAAATCTTGGGCGCGACACCCCCCCCTGCTGGGGAAGGGGCCGAGATCCCTCGGGCCCCGGACGGAGACGATGACATCGGCGGACGCATGCATCGGCCTGGCGCGCGGGACGCACCGGGGGGGCGACGCCCGAGGCGCCCCCAGGGAGGTTCCAGCGCCGACCCGAGGAGTCCGCGTATACTCCGAAGGTTGATGCCCCTGCACTGTCGAGGTGCTCCACCATGGGCCCCTTGTCGAACGCAGCCATCCAGCCCTCGCGCCGGAGGCCTCCAGAGACCGCCGAGGACCGCCGACGACCGTCAGGAGACCGCCGAAGGCTGCCAGAGTCGCGCCGCCGAACACACACACACACACACACTCACACACTCACACAGACACACACAGACACACACACACACACACGCACGCACGCACGCACGCACGCACGCACGCACGCACACACACACACATACACACATACACACATACACACACACACGCACACACGCACGCACACGCACACGCACGCGCACGCACACGCACACGCACGCCCACACACTCACACCACACACACACACAGACACACACAGAGACAGACAGACAGACACACAGACACACAGAGACAGACAGACAGACAGACAGACAGACAGACAGACAGACAGACAGACAGACAGACAGACAGACAGACAGACAGACAGACAGACAGACAGACAGACAGACAGACAGACAGACACACACACAGACAAACACACACACACACACATACGCACACATACACACATACACACACGCACACACACACACTCACAAACACGCACACACACACACACACCACACACATACACATACACATACACACATACACATACACATACACATACACACAAACACGCACACACACATACACATACACACCACACACATACACAAACACATTCACATACACACATACACATACACATACACACATACACACATACACACACACACACACACACACACACACGCCGCTCGGGGCTGGCGGGCAACGAGGGGTCCATATGGTCGCGCACGCCGCCTGTCTGCCGCGCCCCCAGGCACGTTCCCGGAGGAGGCGCTGGGGCGGCCCAACTTCAGCCTCTACTCCCACGGCGTCAACAACGCCGTGGCGGTCAAGTGGGGCGCGGCGTGGGCCGCCCGCTTCGGCGCGGGGGCCTCCGCGCGGCTCTCGCTCCACGCGTGGCGGCAGCTGCAGGAGCTCCGCGGGCAGCGTCAGGCCAGGCTCCGCGGCCCACCGCCCCGGGGGGGGAGGCAGACCCAGGTCCCCGACGGCACGACGGCTGCAGTCCGGGCGTCCGACGATACGACGGCTGCAGTCCCCTCCTCCTCCTCCTCCTCCTCCTCCTCCTCCTCCTCCTCCTCCTCCTCCTCCTCCCCCTCCTCCTCCTCCCCCTCCTCTCCCCCTCCTCCTCCTCCTCCCCCTCCCCTCCTCCTCCTCCTCCTCCTCCTCCTCCTCCTCCTCCTCTTCCTCTTCCTCCGTCTCCTCCTCCTCTTCCTCCGTCTCCTCCTCCGCCTCCTGCTCCTCCTCATGCTCCTCCTCCATTCCTTTTCCTGATAAATAACTTATCCCTCTCGCATCCCGGGGCCAGTTTTCAGGGCGGGCCGGTCGTTTCGCCCGAGGTTTCCTCACCATGTATGAGTCCGAAACTTGAAAATTGGCAACAGCTTCGCAGAGGGAGGGCGGGTGGTTTTCAAAATGTGGCTCTCGCCTGAGCGCCGCGCGCATTCGCTTTAAACATTGGCAAGTTTCACGGATTGAGGGCGAGTCGCTTTCAAAATGTGGCTCTCGCCTTCGCGCCGCGCGCATTCGCTTTTAAAACATTTGCAAGAGCTTCACGGATCGAGGGCGAGTCGTTTTCAACATGTGGCTCTCGCCTGAGCGCCGCGCGCATTCGCTTTTAAACATCTGCAAGAGCTTCACGGATCGAGGGCGAGTCGTTTTCAAACTGTGGCCCTCGCTCCAGCGCCGCGCAAATTTGATTTAACAATTTACAAGAGCTTTGCTGGCAAGATTCATGTCCATATCCAGTGCCTCTTGGACTTTTTTGGAAGCGCCGCCACAAGGCCGGGGCGCACTGGATTTGGACAAAAATCGAGCCTCTAGGGGGCAAACTTGTCCATGTCCAGTGCGCCTCGGGTTTCTTGGGAAGGGAGCCCGAAACTCCATACTGCAGTGGATATGGACAGAAGTATTGCCCGCAAGCTTCACGGATTGAGGGCGGCTCCTTTTCAAAATGTGGTTTCTCGCTTTAGCGCCGCGGACATGCGTTTTAAACATTTGCAACAGTTTCACGGATTCCCATCAACAACGCAATTACCAGAAATCGTGTTTACGAAGGATTCAGGATTACGCGTGGCAAAAACCGTTTTGGTGGTTTTTGTCTTGAAGTCCTAGACATGGCGTTCTGGCACGATTCAGGATCGTCAAGACGCAACGTCAGGTTGATCCTTGCGTTGGAATCCCGAGAACAATGTTTTGGTATGCTTCAAGGTCTTCACACGGGTGTCTTCCACCAAAGCAGTTCCATCAATGGAAATGAACTGTTGTGGTGGCCTATGAAGAGAGAGCTTGGAGGGAGGGTTTACTCCAACATCGTTGATGACTCTTGGGTTACACTGGTCCTCCTCCTCCTCCTCCCCCTCCTCCTCCTCCTTCTCCTCCTCCTCCTCCTCCTCCTCCCTCATCATCATCATCATCATCATCCTCATCATCATCATCATCTCATCATCATCATCATTCATCAGCATCATCATCATTCCATCAGCATCATTATCATCGTCTCAATCATCATCATCATCATCACCATCAATCACCATCACCATCACCATCACCATCACCATCACCATCACCATCATCATCATCATCATCATCATCATCACCATCACCATCACCATCACCATCACCATCACCATCATCATCATCATCATCATCACCATCATCACCATCATCATCATCATCATCATCATCATCACCATCATCATCATCATCATCATCATCATCATCATCATCATCATCATCATCATCATCCCAGGCGCTCTGTCCGCAATTGCGCCCCCGTGGGCCCCGTTCTCGGGCACGGGGTGCGGCGCTGCCCCCGGGGGCAGAGATCCTGACCTCCGGGGCCGCGCGCGGCACCAGAATCGCAGCGCCAGACGTCTGGGCATCGACTGCGCGTAAGAGTGACCCTTCGCCTCGCCCTTCGCCGGAGTGAGGGCTCGTCGGGGCCCCCCGATCGCTGAGCGCGATGCGATAGCGGCGGCGTGCGCGCTGGGATTTGGCCACCTTGCGCCCTCCAGAAGCCGCGCACCAAAAGGTCACTCTTACCCAGGGTCACTCTTGCGTGTAGCCGAGGGGGGGGGGACGGGCCAACTCAGAAGGCTCAGAAGGCCTCCAGCCTTCCGGGAAGCTTCGTGGGCCTCCTCCGAAGCCGCAAAGGGATTCTCAGAAGGCCTCGAGGGCCATTGAAGAGCCCCGCCGCCCTTGAGAAGGCCCGACCCCCTCTGCCTTCCACCTGGGCGCGCCGCCGACTTGCGCCGCCATGCGACCCGCTTTTTGGGTGGGAATGGCTGCCGCGAGGCAATGCGGAGGCGGCATGCGTCCCGGGAGGGGGGGGGACAGGTCGGACAGCGGGGCCAAGCGTTTCACAGTGGGGATGGCTGTTTTTTCACGGCGGTGCTTCCGTTCTCGCGCGCCTCGCCGTTCTCGTATCGCGTGCGTGGAGGCGCAGTTCGCTGTTGCAGCGCCGTCAGGCCACAGCGCGCTTTGCAGAGACACCGTGCGTAGCGAGCGAGGGAGGAGGGAGGAGGGAGGAGGGAGGAGGGAGGCGGGGGAGGAGGGAGGAGGGAGGAGGGAGGGGAGGGAGTAGGGAGGAGGGAGGGTGAGGGAGGAAGGAGGAGGAGTAATGGATGAGAGGAGGAGGAGTCAGGAGCAGGGGAGGAGGAGAGGAGGATGAGGAGATGAGGAGGAGGAGGAGGGAGGAGGGAGGAGGGAGGAGGGAGGGGAGGAGGTAGGATGGGAGGGAGTAGGGGAGGAGGGAGGAGGGAAGGGAGGGAGGAGGGAGGAGGAGGAGGAGGGAGGAGGGGGAGGAGGGAGGAGGAGGAGGAGGAGGAGGAGGATTAGGAAGAGGAGGAGGAGGGCGTGTGGTTGTCGCTGCTTTTCCCCAGGCACGTTTTTGACCGTTCCGGGGGCCTGGGAGCACTTCTGGAGGCCGAGAGTGCTCAGACAAGTTGTCGTCGTGATGTCCGTCACGGCTCCACGAGGTCTCGGCGCAGCGACATTATTGTTCTTTGTGTGTGCTCCTCCACTCCTCCTCCTCCTCCTCCTCCTCCTCCTCTCCTTCCTTTCTCCTCCCTCCCCTACCCTCTCCTCTCCTCCTCCTCCCTTCTCTACCCTCCGCCCCTCCCCCCAATTCCTCCCTCCCTCCCGCCCTCCCTCCCTCCCTCCCTCCCTCCCTCCCTCCCTCCCTCCCTCCTCCTCCTGCCAGGAGCACCACGGCGTGCCGTCTGGGGCCTTTGGGGCCGACGAGCACCTGGCCGGGTCGGCCCCGGGCCGCGGCACGGAGCTCTGCGTGGTGGTCGAGTCGCTCCGCAGCCTGTCCGAGGCCTACGCCGCCCTGCCCTCCGAGCCGAGCCTGGCGGACGACCTGGAGCTTCGGGATCACCAAACCCGGAGATGAGATCGCGTCGCCCAAAAAAAAACACGACGGGAGGTTTGGGGCTATTTTCGGCCCCAGGGGGGCCCTCGCCGGGCCTCGGGGCCGTCAAAGAACGACTCAGGACGAAAGACCGGTCCCGGGGAAGGGGTCGGGACTTCCAGGGACGCTGTCCTGAAAAAAATCCGGGGAGCAGGAGAAGGAGGAGGAGGAGGAGGAGGAGGAGGAGGAGGAGGAGGAGGAGGAGGAGGAGGAGGAGGAGGACGCCGTCCTGAAAAAAATCAGGGCGTCGCATGTTTGTTGGGAAGCGGTCTGGTCACCGTCGGGGTCGGCCGAGGCCCTCCGGGTGGTCACCGTGCGGTGCGGCGTGCCTCGTCCCGCTCGGTGGCCTCGAGGTGCGAGTCGACGCCAGCCACCAGCTCCGCCTCGCCACCTCGGCGTCGACGGCGGCGCGACGACGGGCGCCGACGGCCTCCGACGGTGACGAGGCGGCGGGGGGGGGTCGAGAGCTGACCTGACTCATTGAAGGCCTGAGGCGGCACGTCCACGGCTGACTGTGCGGGCAAGACTTTACCAGCCTCGAAAGTATCCCTATCCCTAAGATTGGCACGCCAAAAGGCGATGGCAATCTTAGGGATGCGCCCTCAGAAAGCAAGGGAATCCCTAAGATTGGCATCGTGATGAGGAGATGCCCAGCATAGGGGTAGGGATACGTTCCAGGCTGGTAAAGACTTGCATCCAAATCCACTGCAGCGTGGAGTCTCGGGCTCCCCTCCCCAAACCCGAGGCGCACTGGGCAAGGGTAAGAATCTCGCCCCAGAGGCGCTTTTTTATCCATGTCCAGTGCGCCTCGGCCTTGTGCCGCCCCTTCCATTAAGTCGGGCCTGTCCCTCTACAGGGGGAATATTCAAAAATTGTCACAAACATAGCCTGGAGACTATGTTTTGACTATTTTGGGGCATCTTTTTTGAACATGTTTTGAGTATTTATAATTTTTCGTCCAAAATCTCCCTGTAGGGGACAGGACAATGCAAGACGCGCTGGATATTGATGTGACGATTGCCCGCAGATTGGTCAGGCCAGTGCTCGGTGGTCGGGCGACTCCAGCGGCGCGTGAGCGCAGCGCTGGCCTGCCTGCTCTCCCGCTCCCTGCAGGAGCGCCTGGCCTTCAACGCGCTGCCGGCCGCCGTGGGAGATGACCACTGGACTCGAGGAAGGAAACTCAGCACGGATCGGAGGAGGGCCAGTCCAGGCACGCTGATTCTCAGTATCGTTCAACCGATCCCCATCCCCATCCCCATCCAGACCCCCACCATCTCCCCCCCCCCGGTTGGGGACGTACCCTTCGAGATCTGACAGAAACTGCTTGTATCCCCACTAGGGGGGGTAAACCGGCCACTGGGGCCCAGGCCACGCGAGTGGGGATAGGGATCGGTGAAGCGATGCTCAGACTCTCCACCGCCCACACCCTCCGACCAGCGCAAGCAGCTGCAGAAGCAGGAACTCTGGGAGCTCCGCGCGGATTTCTCAGATCGGCGCTGGGCCCCCGGGAGGGAGGAGGAGGAGGAGGAGGAGGAGGAGGAGGAGGAGGAGGAGGAGGCGGAGGAAGGAGGAGGAGGAGGAGGAGGAGGAGTGGGGGGGGAGGGGAGGTCCCCCCCCGCTTGGTGGCCGTGGCACGTCGCGGGCGGATCGGGTGACCGCTGTTGAGCGGAATCGCCGGGCCCGGCCGGGCGGGAGAGCCGCCATCATCTTCTAGGAGGAGGAGGGAGGAGCGGAAGGGAGAGGAGGAGTGGAGGAGGAGGAGGAGGTAGGGAGGAGGGAGGAGAAGGAGGAGAGAAGAAAAGGAGGGAGGAGGAGAAAGCGGAGTGGACAAGGAGGAGAGCGGGTGAGGAGGAGGAGGAGGAGGAGAAGGAGGAGGTGGAGGAGGAGGAGAGCCCCCCATGGTGGCACCTCCTGGGCGGGATCGGGGGACCGCTCTTGAGCGGACTCGGGCCGGCCGGGCGGGAGAGCCGCCGTCATCTCGATCAGCCCTGCTCCGAGCGAACGTAAAGCACCCCGGAGGTCCGCATGCACATCTTGGATCGGCGATCGGGCCCCACATGCCCAGAGACCCAACGCACCGAAAAAAGCCGGCCGGAGGCTTTTCGCAGGGTTCGGCCTCTGGGGGCCCTCACCGGGCCTCGAGACCGTCAAGGAACGGCACAGAGGCTCAGGATGAAAAGCCGGTCCTGGGGAAGGGGCCGAGACTTCCGGGGGCCCCGTCTTGAACAAAAAAACACGACGTCGGATATCAGGTTGCGGTGCCGCCTCCTCGCGCTGCCTGGGGAGCGGGACTCTCTATAGAGTGTCGGCCCGATGGATCCGCGCGGGCCTCCGAGAGACTTGCGCTCCAGGCGCCGAAGCGAAGAGCACTTCCTCGGCCTCCGGGCTCTCCTCCTCTTCCTCCTCACATTGTGCAACGTGTGCGTGTGCATGTTGATTCGTCGGTTGTGCACTTCATATTTCCATATCATGATGCAGGCAAGCGACCTCTCGACTCGCTTGCACATCCGTTCAGTTGCGGTGCGGTGCTTAGCCGAGGCCTCCAGGTTTCTCCCGAAAGGAGGTTCTCGGATCGAGCCAGTGGTGCCCCCCAGCAGAGCGATCTAGACAGATGCTCACAGAAGCGTACACAGATCCAGAATAGGTCAACTGCAACTTCCAGGCGCCCTTCTCTTTTTGTTTGCTTGCCATGTGTAGCAGTTCAGTGGATCGTAAGTGTGTCTTGTCTTGTCTTGTCGTCCTCCTCCTCCTCCTCCTCCTCCTCCTCCTCCTCCTCCTCCTCCTCCTTATCCGCCTCCTCCTCCTCCTCCTCCTCCTCCTCCTCCTCCTCCTCCTCCTCCTCCTCCCTCGCTCCTCCTTCATCCTCCTCCCTCGCTCATCCTTCATCCTCCTCCTCCTCCTCCTCCTCCTCTTCTTCCTCTCCGCCTCCTCCTCCCCCCTCCTCATCCCCCTCCTGCCCCCTCCTCCTCCTCCTCCTCCTCCTCTCCTCCTCCTCCTCCATCCTCCTCTCCCCTCCCCCCCCTCCCCTCCCCCCCCGTCCTCCCCCCTCCTCTCCTCCTCCTCCTCCTCCTCCTCCTCCTCCTCTTCCTCCTTCTCCTCCTCCTCCTCCTCCTCTTCCTCCTCCTCCTCCTCCTCCTCCTCCTCCTCCCGTCCGTAGCCATTTTGGCTCAAGCCGTTTGCGCGCCCCCACCATCTTGGCTCTGTGTGCTTGCTCATGGCGCCAGGTGCTGGCGGGCCGCTTGGGCTGGCTGCGGCAGGGAGCCCCAGAGGCTTCCGCGTGGAGAGCGCCGTCGCGAAGCTGCTGCAACGGCTGGCGCGAAGCTGGCTGCTTTCAGGCGCGTGTCCTGGCACTGGAGGAGCAGCTGCGGCGAAGCGAGGGCCCTGAGGTCCAGCGCAGACTGGACGCCCTGGTACCTTTTCTCGAGGAGGAGGTTACTGCCAGGCGCCGCGGGGTCGCACCCGAGCACCCGAGGATGGAGGTCATCATCAGGAACGTGGCCATGCACGTCTTCGGGCTGCCCATGGCCCAGCTGCTGGGGCTGTCTTTCAAGCAGCTCAACGGCGGCGTGCAGCGCGGCGCCCAACGGCGGTCCAAGCAAACCATCGTCGACGTCGTGGTAGAGATCTGCGAGGCGGATGCTGGGGTGAGCCGTGTGGCTGCTGGCGTTCCTGCTCCTCCGCTCTGCTCCTCCGCCTTCCGCGCCGAGGCGCCGATCTTCGTGCCGGGTGCTGCAGCGTACCCGCCGCCGACTGGTGGGGACGTAGAGGAGTTACTGGCCGCTCTCAGCGAGGGGCCCTTCGAAGGGGAGGGCCAGGCCGACGTGTGCATCGAGGAGGTGCACTTAGACACCATCGACGGCCAGAACCAGGGGGCCGATTCGGCCCCGCAGGCGCCGCTGGCCGACGAGATGGCGGCGCTGGAGCCGCTGGATGCCCTCGCGCAGCACGGCGGCGCCGAGGCGGATCAGGTGCTGCGCGACGAGATCGATGCTGCCGCCCACAGCCTCGTCGAGCTCGAGGGGCTATTGGCCGCCGCCACCGCGGAGGCCACGAAGGCAGAGGGAGGCTCGGGGATCGTGGAGGTCCCGCAGGCGCCGCTGGGCTACGACATCGTCGCCATCGGCAACATGAGCGTTGCCGAGATGAATGACCACAGTGGCGTTCGCCGCCCTCCTGGCCCATGGGCGGACAAGTTCGTGTTCGACGAGGGCCAGAGCGACGGAGTCTCGGACGCCGAGAGCTCTGTCGACGGCGACGCCTACGCGGACCTCTTCGTGGTGGACTGGCGGGGGCGCTACGTGGCGCTGTGCCAGTCCGCCGCCGACGAGGTCGGCGTGGGCCGCACCTGGGGTTAAACCCAGGTTTGGCCGACGCTCAGGCCGGTGAGGCCTCGGCTGGGGTCCCTGGGGCTCCTTGGGGTCTCGCGGGGCTCGTGGGGCCTCCGTGGGAGTTCGTATGCATGACCCTCCTGGGTCGAGTCCTGCCTCCTCCTCCTCCTCCTCCTCCTCCTCCTCCTCCTCCTCTTCCTCCTCCTCTTCCTCCTCCTCCCCTCCCCCTCCTCCTCCTTCCTCCTCTCCTCCTCCTCTCCTCCTCCTCCTCCTCCTCCTCCTCCCTGCTCCTCCTCCTCCTCCTCTCCCTCCTCCCCTCCTCCCCCCCCCCCCTCCTCCTCCTCTCCTCCTCCTCCTCCTCCTCCTCCTCCGCACCCTCCTCCTCCTGCCTCCTCCGCCTCCTCCTCCTCCTCCTCCTCCTCCCTCCTCCTCCTCCTCCTCCTCCTCCGCCTCCTCCTCCGCCTCCTCCTCCTACCTCTCCTCCTCCCCCCCATCCTCCTCCTCCTCCTCCCCTCTCCTCCTTTCCTCCTCCTCCTCCTCCCCCATCCGCCTCCTCCTCCTCTCCTCCCTCCTACCCTCCTCCTTCCTCCTCCTCCCTCTCCTCCTCCTCCTCCTCCTCCTCCTCCTCCTCCTCCTCCCCCCACCCTCCTCAGCCTCCGCCTCCTCCTCCTCCTCCTCCTCCTCCTCCTCCTCCTCCTCCTTTTCCTTCTCTCGGTGGGTCCAGGTCGGGGGCCTCTGTGTTGAAGGGGCCGGCCGCGGCCCCAGGAGAGCCGAATCGTCTTTTAGTCTTATGGTGTTCCAACCTGCTTTAGCCGGCCACGCGCAGAGGGGGGTTGGGGAGGCGGGGGGGAGGAGTAGGAGGAGTAAAAGGAGTGGGAGTAGTAGGAGGAGGGGGAGGAGGAGGAGGAGGAGGAGGAGGAGGAGGAGGAGGAGGAGGAGGAGGAGGAGGAGGAGGAGGAGGAGGAGGGAGGGGGGGAGGACTTATTAGAAGCACCCCTGCTTCTTATAAGTCGTGGGCGTTATCTACAGATGCGAGGCCGGCGACTTCTAGGAAGCAGCCTCCTTCAAAGATGCCCTACCCCCTCCCTCCACCCCCTTGTGCGCGCCGCCAATTTAGCCTTGGTCACCAGAAAGAATTTCGAGCACCAGAAAAGTGCCCCACAATCGATGGTTTTCATGTGTCGGGCCCTGAGAGACACTCGGCCGACACTGCTTCGACACTGCTTCGACACTCTTCCGGGTGCTCGAAATTATTTCTGGGATGTGGTCTTTAAGAACGATTGGAACATAATCCGCAAGGGCTTCGCCCCCTGCCGCCGGCCCCCTCTCTCGGAGAATGGGCCATGGAAGAGCTAAGTCATGAGGCCTTGGCGCTGTCGTGAAGCAGTATCGAAACTTCATGCGAAGCCGAGTCGCAATCAGCAAAACCAACTGATTACAAGAGGGGGTACCACACCTGGCGATTGGTAAGACGTGTATGGTTTAAGGGCTTGGTTGCCACACCTTGCGATTAAAGGGCCGAGGGGGTTCTCGCAGTTTGGGTTACCACGCCTTGCGATGGATGTGCGTGGTGGGTTTGAATTTCAGAAATGTGGCAAATCCCCTGTGTTTTTGGACCCTGACCCCGCGGATCTGCGTGAGGGGTGGCACCGAATTTCAGAAATGTGGCAAATCCCTGTGTTTTTGGACCCTGACCCCGCGGATCTGCGTGAGGGGTGGCACCGAATTTCAGAAATGTGGCAAATCCCTGTGTTTTTGGACCCTGACCCCGCGGATCTGCGTGAGGGGTGGCACCGAATTTCAGAAATGTGGCAAATCCCCTGTGTTTTTGGACCCTGACCCCGCGGATCTGCGTGAGGGGTGGCACCGACTTTCAGAAATGTAGCAAATCCCCTGTGTTTTTGGACCCTGACTCCGCGGATCTGCGTGCGGGGTGGCACCGAATTTCAGACATGTAGCAAATCCCTTATGTTTTTGGACCCTGACCCCGCGGATCTGCGTGAGGGGTGGCACCGACTTTCAGAAATGTAGCAAATCCCATGTGTTTTTGGAGCCTGACCCCGCGGATCTGCGTGAGGGGTGGCACCGACTTTCAGAAATGTGGCAAATCCCTTGTGTTTTTGGACCCTGACCCCGCGGATCTGCGTGAGGGGTGTCGATTTCGAGCCCCCCCAGCAATTCAGACAACGCGCCCAGGGGGTGCTAAAAATCCGGTTTGGGCCTCCCCCCCCTCGCGCGGTCAATCAACTAGTTACAGTAACCAGCAAGAAGTCAACTAGTTACAGTAACCAGCAAGAAGCAGAACTGTAACACTGGAAACTACAACCTACGACTGGTACAGGAAACTGCGAATCACGTGCCTACAGCCTGGTGGCCCCACAAGGGGGCCGGCGGATTTTAGCTGGCGTTCCCTATTTACTAGCAGCACGGTATCTGTTCGCTCCTGCCGACCTTTCTTCGCCATCGCGCTGGTCTCCGGCGGCCGTTCGGGACGATCCGGGCACCCCGTGCACGCTCTCGGCGAGGCACAGCTGCTGGAGAGCACCCAGGATCTGGACGACTTGTGGGAACCGACGAAAACGTTTAGAAATTAGGATTCTTGCAGCCTGAACCTCGACTTGCAAATTTTTCTTCCTCGATGGACGCACCAGTACCTCACCCAGACCAACGCGCCGTTCGCGGGCGTCGAACGCCCCGCGGGGCCGGCGGGGTCCGAGCCGCTGCTCTCTGGGGCGTTCGGCAACGTGGGGGCAGATGCCACCAGCTTCGGACTGGCGCCCAATTTCCCCTGCTGCACGGTGCACCTCCCTCGTCTCTCCCTCATCTCTCTTCCTCCTCCTCCTCCTCCTCCTCCTCCTCCTCCTCCTCCTCCTCCTCCTCCTCCTCGTCCTTCCCCACCTTCTGTGGGTGTCAGGCAATTCCGACACAATTCCTCCTCCTCCTCCTTTTCCTCCTCCTCCTCCTCCTCCTTCCTCTCTTCCTCCCCTCCTCCTCCTCCTATCTCCTCCTCTCCTCATCTCCTCCTCCACCTTCTCCTTACCCTTCTCCTCATCCTCTCCTCCTCTTTCCCTCCTCCTCCTCATCTTCCTCCTCCTCCTTCTCCTCCGCTCCGTCTCCTCCTCCTCCTCCTCCTCCTCCTCCTCCTCCTCCTTCCTCCTCCTCTATTCTCCTCCTCTCCTCCGCCTTCTCCTTCTCTCTCCTCCTCCTCCTCTCCTCCTCCCTCTCCGCCTCCTCCTCATCCTCCTCCCTCCTCTTCTCATCCTCTCCTCCTCCTCCTCCTTCTCCTCCTCCTCCTCCTCCTCACTCCTCCTCCCCTCTCCCCAGACGTTGGCAGGCTCCACCTCTTTCCTCCTCCCTCCCCTCCCTCTCCTCCTCTTCCCTACTCCCACTACCCTCCTCCCTCGCCTGCTCTTTCCTTTTTCTTTCCCCCTCCTCCTCCTCCTCCTCTCAAGCCACGGGGGGGCCCAAGGTTTGGTCCCCGCGTCCCCTCGCTGAAGGCGGCGCTGCATGCGATGCCAGCGCCTGGGCCTGCTACTTGAGCAGCGGTAGTCGGCGCGGCTGCTGCAGGGTTGGGCTCAAGAGGACGGAGCCGCCCACCGGTGAGAAGTTGCTCGCGGTGGTGAAGCAGGTCGGCCTGGAGGTGGCGCTCTTCAGCTACAAGTCCGTGGACAGGCTCATTGGGGACCTGCTCGGGCACGCCGAGGACTTGGCGCCCGCCGCTGTGGGCAAGCCCATCCTCGAAGCCAGTTGCATCTGACCGAAGGGGTCGAAGTCACAGATCCAGGGCATCTGCTTGACCGACAGCGAGGCGCCACCGACGGCAGGTTTCGAGTAAGCCTCGCATCACGGCGTGATCAACGAGGAGACCCTGACGGGCGCCGTCGGCAGCCCACAAAAGGGCCCGATCGCGGAGGAGCTGATACCAGAAAGCACTTCCGTCCCATCTTGTGGCCAATGGCACTGGCCGAACAGAGTCGAAGTCAGGGGACGAGCACATCTACTGAAAGGAGTGTGAGGCGCCCCCGCAGGTGGCGTTAGATCATGCTGTGGAGGAGAACCTGCCACAGCAGCAAACCACGGAGGGCCAACTCGACAAGAGGCTAGCCAAGGCCCTTACCATGAAGGTAAAGGAGCATCTGAACGAGAGCACTCAGCCGCTGCACAAGATTTTCAATAAGCTGGAGGAGAAGCAGCAGACGCAGCACAAGGAGATGGAAGACCAGCTCGACAAGACGCTTGCGGAGGACTCCAAGAATATGAAGTTGCAGTTGCTTGGTAGCCTGCAGCCGCTGCGAGAGGCCTTTGACATGCTAGAGGAGGAGGTGCAGAATCAGCACGCGCAAGTGCAGGGCCAGCTCGACGAGAAACTTGGGGAAGCCCTGAAAGGTGATGAAGATGCAGTTGCTTGCGAGCCCGCAGCCGCTCCACGATGTTCCCCACGCGCTGGAGCAGGAGCAGGAGCAGCTGCACGCGACAACGGAGGGCCAGCTCGACGAGAAGCCAGACGAGGCGGCCGTCAAGAAGACGAAGGGAGCAGCTGCCTGAGAACGTGCAGCCGCGGCGATGGGGCCCGCGACGAGCGCCGCAGGTGCCTGGGAGAGGATGCCCGCGCTGAGGTCCTCTGAGCCGCTCCCGTTTGGCAGGAGGTGGAGGTGGAGGAGGAAGAAAAGGAGGAGGAGGAGGAGGAGGAGGAGGAGGAGGAGGAGGAGGTGGAAGGGAGGAGGTGAAGGAGGAGGGGAGGAGGAGGAGGAGGAGGAGGAGGAGAGGGGGAGGGGAAGGGGGAGGCGAAGAGGAGATTGACTCCCCCCCTGCAGCCGCAGGAATCGGTGTTCCTCCCCTCCCCCGCGGCGCTGCGGCGGGGGGCCTGAGGCGTGCCGCCGCTGGGACGGCAGCTCCCCCAGGCTTCGGCGGAGTGTCGGGCGGGTTGTCCGCTCGGTTTCTTGCTCCTGGGTTGCGGGTGCCCCGCGGTTTCCTCCCCCCTTCTCCCGCCTCCGCCCGCGCGCTGAGATGTGTATAATTCAGTATAGTCTTATTCCTCCTCCTCCTCCTCCTCCTCCTCCTCCTCCCCCTCCTCCTTCCTCCTCTTCCTCCCCCTCCTCCCCCTCCTCCACCTCCTTTCCTCCCCCCTTCTCCTCCTCCTCCTCCTCCTCCTCCTCCTCCTCCTCACAAGCAGCATCATGATCAGCAGCATCATCAGCATCATCATTGTTAGTATCATCACGAGCATCATCATCCTCAGCCTCTGCCTCATCATCATCATCATCATCATCATCATCATCATCATCATCATCATCAGCATCATCATCATCATCATCATCATCAGCATCAGCATCATCATCACCATCATCATCATCATCATCAACATCAACATCATCGTCATCGTCATCACCATCATCACCATCATCAGTTTATCATCATCATCGTCATCATCGTCATCATCATCGTCGTCATCATCACCATCATCATCATTTTTATTGGCATCACCATCGTCATCATCATCGTCATCATCAGCATCATCACCATCATCAGCAGCAGCAGCGTCATCATCATCCTCCTCGTCCTCCTGCTGCTCTTCCGCCTCCTCCCCTTCCTCCTCCTCCTTCCTCCTTCTCCTCCTCCCCCATCCTCCTCCCCTCCTCCTCCTCCCCCTCCTCCTCCTCCTCCTCATCCTCATCCTCATCATCCTCATCATCATCATCATCATCATCATCATCATCATCATCATCATCATCATCATCATCATCATCATCATCATACATCATCATCATCATCATCATCATCATCATCCTGCTCCTCCTCATCAGATTTTCCTTCTCCTCCTCCTCTCTCCTCCCTCCTCCTCTCTCCTCCTCCTCCCCCTCCTCCTCCCCCTCCTCCTCCCCCTCCTTCTCCCCTCTCCTCCTCCTCCTCCTCCTCCTCCTCCCCTCCTCCTCCTCCTCCTCCTCCTCCTCCTCCTCCCCCTCCCCTCTCCTCCTCCTCCTCCTCCTCCTCTCCCTCCTCCTCCTCTCCCCTCCTCTCTCCCTCCCTCCTCCTCCTCCTCCTCTCCTCCTCCTCCTCCTCCTCCTCCTCCTCCTCCTCCCCCTCTTGCTGCACGGTGAACTTCGGGCAGGGCTGGCCGAAGTTGCTGGCGCTGGGCAGCTGGCTCTGGGACGACGGCGCCGGAGAGGCGGCGGAGGACCGGGGAAGAGCACACGACATGGGCATGCGGTAGGTTCGCGTCGTGTCCTCGCGGCTGCCTCCCCCACGGTGGCGCTCCGGGTTGAACGCGCTCTACGTCTCCCCAGACCCCCTCGCGCTGTGAACAAAAATCACGGCGGGAGGTTTTTCCTCATTTTCGGCCTCCGGGGGCCCTCACCGGGCCTCGGGAGCGTCAAACAACGACTCGGGATGCGAAGCCGGTCATGGGGAAAGGGTCCAGACCTCTTGGGGTCGACGTCATGAAAAAATCATGACGTCGGGGGTCTGTGTCGCAGCGCGGCAGAGGCGATCCGCACGCGCGCTCCAGTTGGCCGGGAGCCGGCGAACCAACTCATTGTCCGGCCGCAGGAGGGGAGAGAGAGGCGGAGGGCGGCCGCGGGCGCTGGGAGAAAGAGGGAGGCCACTCTCTGCACGACTGCATCCGTCAGGAGTGGGTGCGGCCACCCTGTGCTGAGCTGTGCTGAGCAGCCTGGCACTGGACACGGGGCGGCGTCACGGCCACGCCCAGGGGCTGAGGCAGAGGCTGCAGGCGCAGAAAGCGTATAACTCAAGTGGCGGCAGTGCTGGGGGAGCGGCAAGAAAAACCCACAGCAGTGAGAGCGGGAACATCCGGGTGTCCGTCGTGGGCGCCGTAGGAGGCAGTCTTTGTTGACACGGTACGGCGCGAACAGGATGCGAGCATCGTCGGAGCGACCATGGGGGGCCTGGGGCCGCCAGGCCGTGCACCGAAGTGTTGTCATGATGCCAGCCGGGGCGGCCGAGCAGCTGGGCTGCCACGGTCGAGCTGCTGAGCTGCAGCGGCTGCGGGGCCACAGGGCATGCTGAGCTGGTGGCGGGGCGGCCCACGACCGAGAGGGGACACCCGGGCGGCGGGGGTGGACCGCGGGGAGGGCGGAGGGGCGGCCGGCCTGGCCGGTGCACGCATCGCAGCGGGGAGAGCCAGCGCGGCTGCCGGGAGACGGCGGGGGCAACGAGCGTGTTTCTTTGTTGCTTGGGGCATAATGGGCGTTATAGCCCCCGGCCCCCCCCCCCGAATTAACGCTTCTGCCCCCCAGTGCGCTCCTGGCACTGCCGCCGTGCGCACGGCGGGGGGGAGGCGTCACATCATACCCCCCCCGTGGCCCCCCCCCCCTTTAATGCCCATTATCGCCGAAAAGAAAGAAACGCGCTCCTGACGGGAGACGGCGGGGGCAACGAGACGCCACCAGCAGCTGCATTGGGATCATCCCCCCGGGCCCCATCCAGCCTGTGACGTGAGCCGCCGCACCAGATAGGAGCACAAGCCATCATGGCTCTGGTTCCTTCCCCAGCCTGTCATTGGAACCGACGCACCTGATCCCAGACATGTGACGTCCGGATTTTTTCAGGACGGCGCCCCCAGAAGTCCCGACCCTCTCCCCTGGACCGGTTTTTCATCCTGAGTCCTTCTTTGGCGGTCCCGAGGCCCGGCGAGGGCCCCCTGGGGCCGAAACTTGCCCAAAACCTCCCGCCCTGATTTTTTTTTAAAGACGCGATCGTGTCTGGGGAGGCACCCTGGAGGCGAGCCCCCCCGAGCCACCCCGAGCCGCCCTGATCCCAGACATGCGACGTCCGGATGTTTTCGGGACGGCGCCCCCGGAAGTCCCCACCCTCTTAAAACAGGGCTAGGATCGGGATAAATCGCTCCAGAGCGTTCCGGAGCGCTCTCAGAGCGTTCCGGAACGCTCTGGAGCGGCCGCGGCGCCCAACACATCCCCCAAACCCGCCGATTCTCAGAGATTCCGAGTTATCCCGATCCGATTTTGTCCCGATCTTCGCGTCGTTTTACCTCTCCCCGGGGCCAGCTTCTCGCCCTGGGTCGTCTTGTTGGCGGTCCCGATCGGCCGGGCGAGGGCCCCCTCGGGGCCGAAGGCGGCCAAAGACCTCCCGTCCTTAATCCGTGAGGGCTTCGCCTGGTGCCGCCGGCCCCCTCTCTCTCGGAGAGTGGGCCATGGAAGAGCGAAGTCATGAGCTTGGCATCGCTCGGACGTGTGCATTTTTCCTTCGGCGAGGACCATCGAGGAGCATCCTTGATTATTTGGCGAAAGAACCACGCACGAAGCCGAAAAAAGCACAGGGAACGGACGTCCGAGCGATGGCCAGTGAGGCTTTGGCTCCACCGTGAAGCAGCGTCGGGACTTCCTGGGAAGACGATGGGTAACTGGCAAGACGAGTGGAGATTGCGCGTCTATGGTTGTATGTACTCGGTGTTGCATTTTCATTGGCTCCCGTGTGCCGTGCCCAGATCTTCTCCCCGAACTTGCACATGTTGGAAGTCCCTTGTGTCCTGATCGCGCAGAAGTGCGTGAGGGGTGCCCCAGAATTTGAAAAATGTGGCACATCGGTTTTGCACCCTGACCCTGTCGATCCGCGTGAGGGGTGTCACCGAATATCAGAAATGTTGAGAATGCCCTGGGTTTTCGGACCCTGACCCCGCGATCTGCGTGAGAGGTGCCATCGAATTTCAGAAATGTTGCAAATCCCATGTGTTTTTGGACCCTGACCCCGCCGATCTGCCAGCAAATTTAAAACTGTGGCAAATCCCACGTGCTTTTGGAACCTGACCCCGCCGATCTGCTTGAGGGGTGCCACCAGATTTCAGAAATGGGGCAAACACCTTATGTTTTTGGACCCTGACCCCGCCGATCTGCGTGAGGGGTGCCACCGAATGTCAGAAATGGGCCAAATCCAACGTGCTTTTGGACCCTGACCCCGCCGATCTGCTTGAGGGGTGCCAGCAAGTTTCAGAAATGGGGCAAACCCCTAATGTTTTTGGACCCTGACCCCGCCGATCTGCGTGAGGGTGCCACCAGGTTTCAAACATTTTGCAAATCCCATGTGTTTTTGGACCCTGACCCCGCCGATCTGCGCGAGGGGTGTAATTTTTTACCCACCCCAGCAATTCAGACAACACGCTCAGGGCGTGCTAAACCTGCCCGTTTGGGCCTCCCCCCCCTCGCGCGGTCCACCAACAAGGAACTGTAAGCAGCAAGAAGCAGAACTGTAACAGTGGAAACTGCAACTGGCACAGGAAACTGCGAACTCTCGGCCTACAGCCTGGGGGGTGGTCTCCCAGACATGCGACGTCTTGATTTTTTCAGGACGGCATCCCCGCAAGTCCCGACCCTTGCCCCGGGACCGGTTTTTCGTCCTGGGTCGTTTTTTGACGGTCCCGAGGCCCGGCGAGGGCCCCCCGGGGCCGAAAATAGCCAGAAACCTCCCGCCCTGGGATGCGATGGATCTCTGGGTTCCCGCCTCGGAGAATGGGCCTCCGCAGCCCACGCACCGCGCAGCGGAGTGGGGCCCCCAGGGCCGAGGATTGAGGATTG